TAGAACCGAAGCATTTCGGTCGGTACCATAAAAGAACCGAAGTTCGGTACCCAGCCCTAACCTCGGCCTATTTGGCCACTCCTCTGATCCGTGTTGAGACCAACACAGGACATTTTCATTAACGGCTTAGGAAAAAAGTTGTATTCGCACGAGTGTACTCAGCCAAAATGAAGACAGTGTAGTACACCTGCTGGGCCCTTTGGTGGCCCTGTGACACTTTACAGAATCCCACCCCCAAACTGCTAATGAAAGCCCTGGGCATGTGCAGACGGCACATGAGAGGTAAAGCAACAGCAACATGGCGGCAAATGGGTTCAAATTAGAAATTCCCTTTGCTGTTACACCTCATTTTTTCTCCATGGAGACGGGACCTTAGACCCATGTATGGACTCTGAATCAGACAGGATTCAGATGCATCACAGTCCGTTAAATGGCCTCAAAGTATTAAACGTTTATGTCAACTCTCCCTGGCCCTTCATTTGTTCTACTTTATTTACCTCTAAATTAACAGGGGATATGCTGCAGTACCAGCTGAGCTACTCCAGTGAATCAGGAGCCGGATCGGAGCTGTACGACATCGTTGTTTTGGCGACGCCGCTACAGGCCAGCGTTGGTTCTGGACTTCAGTTCCAAGACTTCGCTCCTCCCCTGGACGAGCTGCCCGGCAGCTATCACGGCACTGTGGCAACAATCGTTCACGGTTACCTCAACACGTCTCTTTTCGGTTTCCCGGACCCCCGCCTGTTCCCTTACGCCAGTGTCCTCACCACTGAGACGGACGGCCTGTTCTTCAACAGCGTGGCCAGCGTCTGTCCCGTCAACATCTCTGCCGGCTTTCGCCGCAAGCAGCCGCAGGAGGCCGGAGTCTACAAGGTGTTTTCGCCTCAGACATTGGACAAGTCTCAACTCAAAACACTCTTCAGGTCAGTCATGTCAGTGGTGGGAAGTAATACTTTATATAAGTAATACATATCCTTCCTGCTTCATTTTCTTCCTCCTAAATTTTTGCTCCTCATCTTACACTCCTAACGTCTTGCTGTGTTCTTGTGTCTGCCTGTATTTCCTGTGGTTTCTCACTTACAGATTTTTGTCACACTTTAATATTTCAGATCACTGTTTACAGATAAGACTAACTTCAAGAAGCAAGAAGGTTACGAGTTTGATTCCCAGACCTGGGTCTTTCTACATGGAGTTTGCATGTTCTCCCTGTGCATGCATGGGTTCTCTCCGGGTACTCCGGCTTCCTCCCACAGTCCAAAAACATGACTGTTAGGTTGTGTGTGCGTGAATGGTTGTTTGATCTGCTTCTCTGTGTTGCCCTGCATTAGACTGGCCATCTGTCCAGGGTGTACCCTGCCTCTTGCCCGTAGATAGCTGGAGACTTGTCAACCTTTTTGCGACCCCACCAGGGATAAGCATGATGGAAAATGGATGGGTGGAAAAATATTTGTCCTCCCTCAGAGATAATTTTTTGAGCCTCCCTTATCACCAACAACTGTTTTGCTTCACTTTAAAGGGGTTTTAGCCCAAAAGTGTTCCTTCCATTCAACTCCATGGATGCTTATCAAGCATGAATTTCCTGTTCAGCTGGAATACAGGTTTTGTAGCTAACAGATTCATAATTATGTTTTATTTGTAAACTGCATCTTAACTAGATTAACTCCAGACTCTGTCTAAGCGATTCAGAACTGGACTTGCTGGTTTGCTTCTGGCCTTTATCCTAGCCGTCTTTGGACCTTTAACCTTCAGGATTCTCTGCTTATACCAATGAAATCAAGGAATGCTGTTATTTTAACTCATAGTAAAACTTAAAACCCACCTTACAGAGGTTAGACTTTTTCCTCGTTCGACCACAGAATATTTCCCCAAGTATCTTGGAAATCGTGGGGCTTTCATGGTGACTATGAGGTTTTTAATTCTATTGGTCAGCAGTGTTTTTTTTTCTCAGGCTTGTTGTTGCTGCCCAGCCTATTACTGAGTAATAAACTCTGACCTCAACGTTTAAAACTGGTTCATGTTTTCTTTTTATCCATTTGTAAAGAAAGGAAATGAGAATCTTATTTCTGTATTGCGAGCCTACTTTATGTTTTTCAGACATGTTTATTAAAGTCCATCCATTAATGTCTCTATAAACATCCATCATCATCTTCCACCTCCGTTAGGGTCGTAGTGGGGGCGGTGTCTATCTCTGGCAGTCTATGGGCAAAGGTGGGGTACAACCTCGACCGGTTGCCAGTCTGTCTCGGTGTAACACATTGACATACAACCATGCAAACACACATTAGGACAATTTAGAGATAACAATCAACTTTAACAGTCGTGTTTTTAGACTGTGGGAGGAAGCTGGAGTACCCTGAGAAGAACCAACGCATGCATGGGGAGAACATGGAACCTCCATGCTGAAAAGGATCCATTATGCCACTTTGTAGCAGAAAAGAAAACATTAAAAATCCTAATTTTGCTACGGTTGAATAAAAATTTGTCTTTGGATCTGAAATGCTTGGGTGGGGCAAATAAAGAGACAACCAGGAGAAATTTGTACACAGGCAGATACCTTTCACACTATATATATATATATATATATATATATATATATATATATATATATATATATATATATATATATATATATATATATATATATAAAAAATGCTGTGCTTTAGTGGGATCTGAACATTGCTTTTCTGCCCCTTTAAACTGTAGGTCGTACTATTCAGCCCAGGTGACGGAGTGGCAAGCCTACCCTCACTACGGCAGCAGCCAGGGGCTGCCACCTATAGAGCTGCACCCCAATCTCTATTACCTCAATGGCATCGAGTGGGCCGGCAGTGCCATGGAGATGAGCTCAGTGGCTGCCAAGAACATCGCCCTGCTGGCCTACCACCGTTGGAACAAACAGTCGGACATGGTGGACCAGAAAGATCTCATGCACAGAATCAAAACTGAGCTCTGATCCTCTGAAATCTGCTGTAAACATCTTTTTTTGTTCTTCTTGCTTTTTTTTGTGGGAGGGGACCAGAGAAGTGTTTTATAAGATGGTGATACAAGCGTACAGAAAAGCCTCAGCCTTTTTTTTTTAGAGGATATAAAGGAACTTGACCTAGTTTCTAAATAAAAGTATAAATATGATTTGTCATAAATAAAAATCATGTATTGGACTATTTTAAAGCAAACCTAAAACCCAATGATTTGGATTCCTGTTTTACAATAGCTACAAATATTACAGAGGAGAGCTGATGCAGAGGCTGTACCACAAAGCAAGCGCTACATAGCCAGGTTACTTCCAGCCTATCCAGTTTAACTAATCCACAACAATGGCAATCAGGATCAGCGGTACCAAGAAGCTGGTTACCAACTCTAACTAGACCAAGCTAGAGCTGATCATGAACCTATGAACGTGCATGGATAAGGGGGCAGGTTCGAGGTAGCGGACCAATCATGATCATAGAAGGGAGAGCGCCATAGTTCTTCTGTGAGGAACAAAAACCCATCTTACAGAAATATGGGGCGGGGGTCTCAATGAAAGTTCAAACAGGGTGGCGGCATGAAAGAGACGCCACATATCGTGGCAAAGGATTGCTGCCTGCTTAAAGGTATAGTGGAGGATTTTCGTGAATTTTTGAAAAGACCCGCCCTCTCCACTTAAAAAAAAGAAGTAGAAACTTAACATGCACAACCCTATACCCACTCCTGAGAAGGAAATCTTATTAAACATTTCTCCTCGTGCACGCTCCGTTTAAAAGTTGTTTGCATCACTCATAAAAGCTTACTTTCCAAAAGAAGATTTGCAATTTTTCCACGTCAGGCTCACCACCAGTAAGTGAAAATTCGACGAGCACGTAGGACGGCCTTACGTAAACATATCAGCAGAATGATTGACAATTAGGAGGACCACTTATTTAGATGATCCACCCAGAAATAAAAGATCGTCCTCTATACCTTTAAATGCAAAAGTTACACATCAGTGATGTTTAATAGCCTGCATCCCAATCGGTCTGCTGCATATTAATAATTTGCCCCTCAGGAGTCAAGAGGACTTGAATTACCTCAATGTCTTTTCTACTTGAATGAAACTTCTTAGTATTTCTGTTTCAGTCTGATACTCTGTGCATGATCAATGTTAAATTTCACAGAAACATTACAGAATAGTAAAAGGTTGGTGTCAAAAAGGAGGCAAAATAAATGAATTAATTAAAAACTTCAATTTGTCAAGAACATATTTTGTTTTAAAGTTTCTTTATTATGATATTGTTGTGTTGAAGTTATTTTTTCCCCTCTGAATTCCGTAAAAATTCAAAAAATGTCCACTGGACTTGGTTTTCAAGATTTGAAGACATTTCGCCACCTCTCCAGGAAGCTTTCTCAATTCAAATTCCCCTCTGAATTAAATCGGGTCTTCAATGAAAGGACACGTCATTGTTTCCCAAACAGCTGATTGGCTCCTGGATTAAACCTTTTCTAGAATTCAGATCCTTCCTGAAAGCTTGCAGTTCAGAGTATGTTACCATGGTGACTAGCCTCGCTAATAATGAATCCAGCTTTGTGGTACCGGGAAGTCAGGGTTAAACCTGAAGTCTTTGCTAAGCCATTAATCCTGCTTTTTTTTAATAAAAATTATCCACCTAGTATATAATAATCCATTAACTAACTGGATTGTTGGACTGTTATCTTCATTTGGACGAGTGGTGAAAGGACATTAAATACCTGTAAGGGTATAGATACTGCAGTTGCATATAGATTATCTTTTTTTTACTTTAGAAAATGTGGCTGGTTTACATTTAATGGTCCAATGATCTTAGCACATTAGAATATGATTGGAAGTTTTATTTATTTCAGAAATGTAAGTAAGAACAGTGAAAGTACATGTTGATATACTTTAATGGTTTGTTTGTTTTACTGCGGATTATTTGTGCATACATTTTCAGTCGATTGGAGCAGGAAGTTTGCAAAAATGTTCTGGAAAATGGCTGCAATTACCTTGGACTTAATATAGGAAACAGTGGCCCATCATCACCAGCAGGTGACACGGTACCCAGAACCATCACTGTCTGGAAAATCTTCACATTGGACCTCAAGTGTCTTGGATTATGTGCCTCTCCAATGTTCCATTATTTCCGAATGAAATACAAATTTACTTTGAATGGTAAACTCTGTCCGCTAAGTTACGGTCCCGTTATTTATTTATTTACAGCCCAGATAAGACCCTGTGGGTGCCATCTCTGGTTCAGAAGTGTTTTAAAGCTAGATAATAAACTGCTGTAGTCCATGCTCTGAATAAATCTGTGTGGTAGCTTGCAAAATACTGACTGCAAAATTGAAAAATCCTTAATCTTAAATAATCTTTACTTTCCAGACCTCTCAAGGTTGCAGCTATTCCTGTCAGTGCATCACATCTATCACACTTTTTCCTTCTACTAAGCTTTCCATGATGATGCAGCGATAAAACACTGAGATAATGGCCTTTTCAGCTTGCTTACTCTGCCTTTGGAGGTATTTGACTTTGTTCTGGAAAAGTCAGCAGTCTTCCCTATGAATGATGTCAAGCATAATTGTCTGTTATGCTGCATGTCCTTTGATTCTGTTATGTAATATTTCAATCTGAGTAAAAGAATTTGGGATTTCCATTGGCTGCAATTGCAAATGGACAGAAATAAACCCTCCCAATACATTACTGTGATAAATCTTTATACTAGAAGACATTAACTTTCCTTGAGATAATTAATAATGTAATATGTTTTTTGTTAATTAAACTACAGCTTTGCACTGACTTTATCGTAGTGAACCCTGGTGTTTTGCTCTACCCCCACTCCATTAGACTTTCTTTCTTTCTTTTTATTTTTTTTAAAGGACCCCTCTGTCCTGTATGCTGTGGTTGCATAATCAAGTGGAAAAATGTGTTCAGGGAGTGGAGCCAGCCGGCTTTCACTCTGGACAGATAACAAAGCAGAGGAGAGATCTGCCCTCTGTGATAATTAGGACGCATTTTCCTCCTCTCAAACATGAGAGCCTTACTGAGCACATCGATGGGTCACCTGTAGAAATGTAAAGCTGCAGAGGGATATTGTTTTTGGATTTGGGTTGGAAATTTCAAAGGACAAGATTTTACAGAACTTGGAAAAGTCTGATCTTCTGATTCATCATCTGAACATCTTGTGACTTATAGCGTCTTTGTTGATTAATAAAGGGGTTTTTTTGTACTGTGGATGGTAACTTGATTTATCTCCTACGAAATGAATTCTTTTCATATTGCATCAGACTGGAGAACTGCTGAGTTTTAACTTTTAATTTACAAAAAAGCAACAAGAATCTGGAAGTGGAGATCTGCAGGAAGTCAGTTGAACTTTCTGGTTGGTCTGAGAGGGAGAAATCAGACTGATCAGGAAGGAGATGGTTGATGACAACTGATGACTGATTGATTTGCTTACTTAAGAGATAAAGGAGAGGTAATATGGATCTGTAGGAATTTGATTCAGCAGGCTTTGCAGACTGAACCCCAGAGGTCCAGGAGAAGGTGAGTGAGATCTGAGAGCGTTGCTACTTGCAAGAGACGTCATGCTGGAGAGCAGGAAGGCAGGTGGTGAAGACTGAGAACTGCTGCACACACAGATATGACCTTTTCCATGAAGATCGGAGAAGAACAGGTTCACTGGTTGCCTGGAACAATAACAGGTTCCGCGTTAAAAGAGATTCACAAGAAGACAAATTTCAACAAGATATATATTCCTGGTTTAGGTCTTTACCTAGACTATCATCAGGGCTAATCATCCAGTGAAGATGGAGGATCCTTTGCCTCCTTATATACATTCTGCTCATCTTGATTGAGAAATGCTCCAAGGTGTGCAGCAACAAGGTTTGGCCCCGCCACCAACCAAGATCCTCTCTGTGACATGGAGCTCACTCACATCAGAAAAACAGCAAAACCCCAGAGACTCTAAGAGGCCTTTTTGGTTTTCATTCCCCACCTCTGTCTGCTTCAGTTAAACTTTCAAGATAGATATAATCATAGCAGCAATGTCTCACTTTAACGTGTGAAAATATGGCAGCTTCCTGAGGGATCATGTTGGGGTTATTTATCTTAAACTTATAGCTTTTGTATTTCTTCCTTCCTTAACCCAGACTAGTTGACTGGTTAAAAGAGAGAGCTGTTCTGAAATGCCTGCATGAGAAACAACATACCCCCCCACCCCCGTCCTTAAAAAAAGCAGTAAAACATGGAATGAAACAAAAACTTTCTGCAGCTCGTAGGTATATAAGTGAAAAAGACTCATCATATTTAATTACTGATGGATGTAAATAAATAAAATCATTTTTTTTTTGCAGGTATTTATACCCCTTGAAAGTGTTGACATTTTGTCACATTGAAGCCACAAACCTCTGGGGTCTTTCTTGAATAAGGGCACAAATGTGAACAGGGAAGGAAATGCTACAGGTTTAATTTTTCCACATAAAACTGAAAAAAGTGTCATACCTTTGTAAGGCGGTAGGGAGCTTTGATCAAGCTTTTTTTTTTTTTACTACTTTTCAGGTCTGGAGATTTTTTTTTAGTCCATTGTTTTGCAAAAATCTTACACTCAGTCTGGGTCAATTCTTGTCACGGTTTTCTAATTATGATTTAATCTGACTTGGTTTGAGCCATTCTAATGTATTAATTTGCGTTCATTCTATCCACTCCATTCAAACTCTTCAAGTTTTTTTTCTCAACCTCAATCTAAATCAGTTTTCAGCCTCTAGCAGACATTCCTCCATGGTTTTCTTACATTTAACTCTATCTATCCCCATCTATCCTTCAGGTTCACTGTCTCTGCTGAAGATAAACATCCTGGCAGTACTTTTGATTTCACCTACATGTTTTATCATCAACATGCACACACAGAGTGTTTGCATGTGAGCAGAATAAGATTCTTTGCTCCCAGTTTAAAAGAGCTCCTGCTCCACTTGTTTTTTCTCAAAGAGCGCAAAGATAACGTAGGATTTTCCCACCTGAGCTGTGGATCCCTGCAGCTCCTCCAGAGTTATCATTGATCTCGTGGCTGCTTCTCTTATCACTACTCACCCAGTCCATAAACTCTAAGCAGTTTGGCTGTGTTGATGACAAAAAGCTTCCACATGGTTGGTGTGTTCAGAAAAATTGTTTTCCCACAATTTTGAATTGTTAAAGTCGTGTGAATAATTTTGCAAGCAAATTGGGCCTGGCGAGAATAGTATTACCGGTAGTCCTTAACATGGTGCCTTAGAAAAAGTAGAACAGATTTAAATGATATGCTCACCTATTCAACATTTAATGGGTGTACAAGCAACAGAACACATCTATCGCTATGACGAATTTCCATTTAATTGTTAATAAAATTGATTAATTTATGAGTATTTAGTATTTTGAGTAAAGATTATTCAAGATTCATGTTTTGTTACAAGAAAATAACTTAACCGGGGTTTAATTGGTAGCAGCCCAGCATGATAGGGGGAAAAAAAAAAAGGAAAGCTTTTGATTCTTGAGAAGTCCCATTTCAGCGCCAGCTCTAAATTTCCACAGAACTCGCACACATGCTGAGTTTTTCAATATTTTATTTATTACCTCTCAATATGATCTCTTCATACTTAGCAGGCTGCGACATGAATGTTAAAACATCAAAATACTAGAGTGAATGGACAGACCTCATATTTAAACTCTTGATCGTTAAGGAATTGTACTAAAAGCAACGTATACATTTCTGAATTTGTCCATTTAAAGAAAAAATAGCTGTCAGTAAGTTTTCTATGTATTCCCTTCTCTTTCGACTTTTTTTTGTATGATGCAACACTGAAAAAGCCTACTTTCTGTTGATTTTAAACCTTTATCACAAATTAACATAAGAAAAATATATTTTAGGTCTTTAAGCTTCAAAAGTAAATCACAATGTAATAAAAAAAAAAGTATTATTCACCCTTCTTATAACTGAAATAAAACCTGAATTAAAATAATTAACTGAATTAAAATGTGAATAATTTTCAAATCACTTCAAAATTTGAAGCCAAGAACTTAAAAGGGATATATATATATATATATATATATATATATATATATATATATATATATATATATATATATAATTTATGAGGAATATGTTACTGCTGGTTATCTTCAGTGAGTCTACTTTACGGAAAGTGAGAGCAAGCTTTCACCTCTGACTTTGGCAGAAACCAAAAAGAACAAAAACCTTCAAAAAGCTCAAACATTTATTTCAGTTTCAGATTCACTCAGACATTGACTCATGAACAGTCATCCGCCCCTCTGAGGCAAACGGGGGACTTGGTAAGAGGAGACGCTTACCTAAACAAATACAAAGAATGACTTTAGACTTTAATTAATGCATTTCATGATGAATTGTTAAGTTTGATTATGTATTTCCCTGCAATAGACCGGCAGCCTGTCCAGGGTGTACCTCGCCTTTCACCCATAGACCGCAGGAGATAAGCACCAGCCCCACCAGGACCCTGACGGAGTGGAAGAAGACGGATGGATGGATTTTTTCATTCAATACTTTTTCAACAAATCAAGGTATTTTGTTTGAATTAGTTGAAATCAAAATATTTTGTTATAAACATTGTAAATAATTACTTTTTATATCTACACTTTGACATGTTCACTTAATAGGATCCAGTTTTTTAGTTATTTAACAACTTATCCTGATGAGCCTCAATAATCCAGGTACAAAGATCCAAAAAATACTTGTTATTCTTCTGTAAAAGGTTTTTCAAAGACAAAAAAACCATACAAAGGGCTAACTTCACTTTTTCTGATCCTAGGAAATAGTTACATAATTATACTCCTGAACCAATTGATTGGGTTAATTGTAAGTAATGGGTTACTGAAAATAACTGTCCACTGATTAGGTAATCAAAAGGAACTAAGTGGAGTCTACAAACTCTGAGACATGCCCTTCGATGAGAAGGTTAGACACTAATAGTAATTATGCTCCAACTAAAAAAAAAAAGATGTAAGTTAAAAAAGCATCTTTGTCTGTAAATACATTCTATCCTGAACTCCCCCAGTCAAACTTTGAGATTAATGTGGCTCCAAACTAAAACTGTAAAAATACTCCAATAAGCAATTTTTTCTACCTGATTATGAAATCTAAAAAAAGGAGTCAACAAATAGATCTTAGCAGCTGCAGCTCTCCATGATTATATATTCTTTTTCTAAATAAAGTAAAAATATTTACTCACATGTCCACCCAAACACATGTAATACATTATTTTTGTATCATGTTATTTATTTTTCAAAGATGATTAATCATTTGATTTATCATGTTACTGTATAACTGCAGTTTCATGTTTAGAAATAATGACAATATTTAGTTCTATTACAGCTTACTGCCTTCATAATGAGGAGATATGGGTTGATTTCTAAACTTTCTTGATATTTAATTTATTACATACATATTAAACTATTGATTTATTATTTTCCACGTTGCATTATTGGTCCTCCGTATTGGAAGTCTTTGTTAGGATTCCTTTACAGAAACTGAATGAGTAAATCTGAAACTGAAAATACTGCTTTGGCCCATTTCCCCCCCTTTTCTGCCTTTAAAAGGTTAAACCCTACATTCACATGGGATTTTAATGTTTTATATTTGTTTAGATTACTATATAATCTTCACCCTGAAATGTAAATCTACATTTGACACATTTCTTAGTTTCATTTTTCAAGAAAATGAAAGGGGAGGGGTTATTATCAAAAGCAGAGTAATGCTTCACAGAATTTAAAATACGAAGTCATATATAAGACTGTTTGGTAACAAAATAGAAATATATGAGAGATAAATTGGAATTCTGATAATTAAATAGCAGAACCATTACAGTAATGAATGTCTAAGAAAACAAAACGGCCTTCCTACTTTAAACCACATTCCGTAATTTATCTCTACTCTGCGGAAGTGGATTAGGGCCACTGAAAAAACTTAAAAAGTTAACTGATTTTAAAATATTATTTCAGTTTAATATAGGAAAAAAGGTCAGATTTCTGACTTTAATCTCAGACTTCTGACTGAAATCTGACAGATAACAAACATGTTAGCATCAAGTTGCAGCCATGTTTGTTTCAGAGACTAGCTCTCTTGTTTTAATCACCTTTTGCTCTTCCATTAATGAAATAGCATCGCCGGGGACCCCTCGGGCACTTAAAAAGTTGCCTAATTTTTCCTCAATGTGTTACTAGCTCTCCCAAAAAACTCATATCTTTGTCAGTAAAGCTGAGGGCTCCCACATCTCTTCCTTCATGGTGCCCATGTATATTAAGATCCAAAATTCTGAGATTAAAGTCAGAATTCTGAGAAAAAAAGTCAGTATTCTGAGATTAAAGTCAGAATTTTAAGAAAAAAAGTCAGAATTCTTGGGGAAAAAAGTCAGTATTCTGAGATAAAAGTCAGAATTTTAGGAAAAAAAGTCAGAATTCTGAGAAAAAAGCCAGAATTCTGAGATTAAAGTCAGAATTATGACTTTTATTCTCATAATATACTAAATAAAATTTAAAAATCAGTTAACTTTTTTTTGTTTTTGTTTTTTTCAGTGGCCCTAACCCTCTTCCGTACTGCTCTCTATAATTCTTCTTCATAACTTTGTAAATGAAAACTAAAAAGATATTTAGAAGGTGTTTTCCTCCAGCTAGGAGCTGCCCCCCTATTGGTTGATGAGCAGACCACGTGGATCGGAGAGTCACGCGTTTTCCAGAAACCCGTCAGGAAGGAGAAAAACAAAACAAACCCGAGAGAGCTGTTAAACCGTGTGTACTCCAATTGGAAAGGGAAATATCTTTTTAATCAACAGTTTAACTCAAACACGGACATCTGGCAACGGGAGTGACGTATGCACGGGAGTCTTAAAAGTAAGTAGGACCGATTGTGGTGCGTTTAATGACCCTGAAGTGAGTGTTTCTGTCGCGTTAGCTTCGTTAGCTCCGAAGCTAGCTGGCTCTGGTGCTTGAGTGTCGGGCTACAGCTGGGATGAGGAAGGGACGGAAGGAGGCCATTAATGACCGAGTTGCAGCTGAAAAATAACATTATTTGTGATTTCGGCTTTATAACATTCAATTGAATGCAACAGAACGAGCATAGAATGGCTATTTTATCAGCTTTTGGCAGTTTATCGACGAGCAGCTAGCTCGTATACCTAGCTGATATAAACGTCGGTCAGGAGGCTCTTTAACGCACACCGAGACGAGATCCTGCTGGTTTGCTGTCATCAAGCACCCAAAACAGCTGATTATGTGTCATTATTTGTAGAAAAATAAAAACAAAACAAACTGTTATGTAAGCAGGCTGCACTGTCAAAATAGTAAATCTCATTACTTTTGCCTATTTCTAATATATTTCCGGAATACGTGCAGTTAAACAATGAAATAGTTGTGTAATTGTGGTAGGAAAAGCCTGGCTTTACAGCCTCAGGTCTCCCTGGGTACACGCCCCCCACCCAACCCCCCCAACACCAAACAGAGAAAAGCTCGGCTGTTTCATGTAATTTAAACTCTAATACACTTCGATAGCATATATTAAGCGTCTCATTCTCCAATTTATTGTTTTTATACCCAGTAAAAGTATTTCTGGGCTTTCTATCCACCGTAATAATTAGTATGTTTTTGTTTTCTGGGGGGAAAAAACGACCGTTCATGAAATATTATTATTTTCAAGATGGCGATTTTCTTATTTGTGTGATTAGATTGAAATATTTGATTAATACTAATATGTAGGGCACGGGGATGCAGGCCTCCTAGTTGTTTATCTTCTGCTTCAACCTAGATTGAAACAAGCTGTTTATGATGAAGCAGCTTCTGTGATTGACGGTTGAGGCGTCCAATCAGACGCTTGCGGAGGCGGACCCTGGTGTCGGTTTAGCCAATAGGAATGCAAGATTACGTGGGTGTTGGCAGAGGCTGTTAGATTGAGGTTTTGTTTTGCTTCTGTGATGGGTGCAGAGAACTGGCGAGACACTTGTGACTTTATGGCTTTACTGGGGGGATAATATGGGTCATATCTGTAATACACGTCATCGTGTTATGCAATAGTACTTTGCTTTCAGGTTTTGAAACCTAAAAAAAACGCTTTAACTTTATGGTTTTGCTTTAAGGAAAACGTATGTTTGTGATTTTCCACTGACAGCGTGGTTTGCCTCAACAGGATTTGGATACATGCAAAGCTCAGTGTCCTTTCATCAGCAATGTCTGAGGTAAATTGAAACATGCATCCCCTCTTTGTTATGATTAAGGTAATGTCCTTATTATTGATGCTAATAAAAAAAAAATCCTTACACAGCAATGAGTTGTTCTCAGTTAGAAGATTCTCATCAACATATTTGCGTTATACCTTTATAATAAAACGCAAAATATGATTTGATTCCTGTAATGTTAAGCTGAAAATGAGCAATTATTTTAAAAAAACAATATAACAGCAGTTCTTACAGGTATAATTATTGTACAAAATATTATTTTTCTGCTCTCTACAGATGAACATAAATATAACAAGCTGATTTTAGAAAATAGTTATTTAATCATGCTGTCCATCCCGAATAAAGCCTGTAGAAGTAAGCCATCTATTATTTGAAAACAGCATGAATAGGAAAGGGCTGTGTGTGAAGGAAAAGACCTTGATAGAGTTAGCAGTGTTTACTTCACTTTAAATGGGAACAATTAACAGATCATTTCTATATATTTGTGAAAATGTCCTTTGTCTGTCTAATTTGTGTAAAACAGTACGTATCAATATGCATGGTTTTATCTCAAGTGTTAGGGTGGTGGTTTGTATTATGTTAAAAAAATTGGATGAATCAGATTTATTTTTTTTTTGTTTTGTAGAGGTTTCCTGAACACGCCTGGTCCCTAGCCAATTGATTGCCACAGTTGTTATTCATACAGGTGCTTATAAACTAGAGTCACATGACAACCACATATTTATTTTTGTTACACATTTTAGTAGGGCTGCAACTACCGATTATTTTGCAAATTGATTAATCTGTCCATTATTTTTTTTCGATTAATCGATTAATAATCGGATAGAGCATATTGACAGACTAAAAAATCTGAACATAATTGTAAAATGTTTTTTTTATTTTTACCACTCTAAGTGAGTTGCTCTGTTGGAGTCTCTATACTCCAGTTAAGGATTAATTGATTACTAAATTAGTTTTAGATTATTTCAACAATCGATTAATCATGACTAATCCTATTTATTGTTTCAGCTCTACATTTTACTAAAGGTTCCGAGGTCAGTTTTAAACTGACTCTTAAAGCTTACTCCTCTGTTTGACAGAGTTTAAATCTTTTGTATTCTATATTTGACTTTTAGTTTATCATTGTGTTGTTCCTCGCCGACCTAAATTCTGAAGCATTTAAGTCTTTACCCTCCTCTCTTTCTGTGCAGTTTTTAAATCATTCAGATAAAACAAGCAAACATTGAGAACCCTCTCAGCAGGAAAAGCTCAAGTGGTTTGCTTTCAGAGATTATTACACTGTTGTGCAGCAATTATCCGGGGAATTAGGTGCGCCTATTTTTGACACAATTAAAGATCCTTTAAAAAAAAGGAAAAAAATAATAAGTTTGCTCAACCTTTCATCATTTTAAACCAAATCACTTGAACCAAAATGAGGCCATTACCTCGTGTGTGGCTCTGTGAGTTTTTAAGGCTCTCATTCTCTATTTGAAGCTTTGTCAGTGAGCTGCTGGTGACTAGATTCATACATCTGATTAAAAAAAGTGCAACAGCGAGTAATAGCAGTCTGTTATAATGGTTTGCTGTCTCTAAGTGCTGAAGCAGGACACTTTTAACAAGGTCTTATTTTGTAATGCAGCCCAGAGTATTAACTGGAGCCATCATAAAGTATTCTATTTATGTCTCTTTTTTTTGCTTTGTCTTTTTATACTCAGAAAACTGAATGTTATAACTTATTATTAGTGTAAATGCTGTATTTTGTCAAGACCCTCAAACCGCTATGTTTGTAATCAAGAGTATGTTATCCTGGGAATCTAATATCATCCCAAGCCTTGTCATTACAAAATACTAGTATGTAGGATGGATGGATTAGGATGGATATTAGGATGCTTCTGTCAGACTTAATGTGTGATTTTCATTCTCTTTCTGGTGAAAATGTAACAAGCAGATCTTAAAAGTGGGAGGAAGGTTCCTTCATTCAGATAGTGGATTTAAATCCAATGGAAAACCGCAATATTCCTTAAAGCTTATGCATGTCCTCTAACCTTTGTTTACATTTTTTTTAACTTGACCCAGAAAGCTATCATGTCTTTTAAATGACAACTGAACCCTTGACACACCTAATTTTTTTAAAGGTGTGCTTTTTCATTGATGTGGGTTATATTGTAGGCTGCTCACTTTTAAAAGGGTTGAGTATGAAGGAAGGATGATGATGCCAAATGGACTAATTTCTGAACCACTGACCGTGGTAGTAAATTGCTAACCTCCGTCTGCTCACACCAGCAACTCAACAAAACGAGCAATGAAAATCCCTACCCTTTTGGGACAATCGGCTGTTACTTAGCGTCTATTTCAGTCTGTTGCCACGCTGTCCAAACACATTGGGGGCTTGTGGATTAACAACCTTTTGTGATGTGCGCTCTCGCATGTCCTCTTTCATAAACGGGCTGCTATCTCAGGCTTGTTATTTCTGCTGTAATCATCTGCGGGTAACTCATTCCAGAGAAGATACTGCTGATTGGCCTACTTGAATCACATCCAGTGTTGTGAGGCAAAGAATATCACCTTTTTGCATGAAGGGAGATATGAGCAGAGCACAGCATGCTGACTTTTCATTTGATGCTACATAGGAACCAGGTCAGGTTATTAGAAGTGCTTCAAAAAAAGATTGTATTACACCTTGAACCTTTCACAGATTTTGATGTGACAGCCGCAGCTCTGCTTTCAGTGATGGAACCATAGTAGTGTGAAGATGAGAGGTGTGTGTTTGTACATAGTAGCTCTTAGTTAAAACATACTGCCTTATTTTGTTAGTTTTTTTGTTGTGCTGTTTCTACTCGATTTGCATATCTAGAGACTGAAATGATCCCAATTATTCTCTGCAAAACAGCTTGATTAGATTTAATGAGTGTGAACCTCAGTTTTCATCTTCTGCTGCTCATTGTTAACTGTATATTGCCGTGGTCTTTGACTAGGCCATTTGAAACGAGTATATTTTGGGTTGAACTATTTGGCTACAGCGTTGTCTTTGTGTTTAAGGTATTGTATAGGTAGAGTTTAACTTTTTGTACTTGCTAGCAACCTCTCTTCCCACATTGTCCATTATTTATCTCCATTCGTCCACCTATCAGCTAACTAGCTGTTTTGTTGGTGTTAAAGAAGAGCTACAAAATAACGCTACTGCCGCTTTGTTTCATGGTGAGTTTAGTGTGTAGGTTAACTTAACTGACACACATAGCATTTTATATGTACAACCAGAAGGTTTGGTTGTTCTCGCCTGATTTTAGCAGCTTTTCACTGTTTTTACCCCCAACATTGTTTATGGCAAACATGACTTTTCATGGCTCTTCTTTAAATGATGGATTTCTTTAAGCAGCTTCTTTATAAAGGCCAGATTTGTGGAGTGCCAAGCGGAAGTTGTCCTGTCTGCAAGTTTACCCAGAGTTTCCATAGACCTGTTAGCTACTTTAATGCATATCCTTGCCAAGCCTTTCAGGTCAGGTAGATGTTTATTTCTCTTTCTGTCTTCATATGATCCACTGAACAGCCTTGTGAGATGTTTAAATTTGGGGAAAGTGTTCTAAAGCTGCTTCAAAGACTTGCCCCAAACATTACCTCCGAATTTTCTTGTTATAATTTCTTTCCTCTCAAATAAATTTGGAAAACCATTTATCAAGCGCATCCCACATCCTCATCATGAACTTCTTTGTTTGAGTCTATAACACACAACCATAACAAATATGTTCGTGTTTGTGGAAATCAACTTTTCCACAGGAAGTTGTGATGAAAAACCGATTTTAAAAAAGCTTCATCTGTGACCAGTCATGCCAAGGTTCATTACAGAGGGATCAATGTCTGATGGTGTATTTTGCTTTTGATTGAATGCTTAAAATCTAAGCAGCCGCTGTTAAGCCATGCAGTGTTAGGTAATTATTTCTACAGCGCTGTAAAACTGATTGAAGGTTGCTTTTTTTTAATTAAGTATCAAAGTTATATGTAGTAGCTGCAGACATGTTGCTCAGACTTAACTGAAGTTTAATCTGCTACAAAAACCGAATAAATAGTAATAATTTAACTTTATTAATCTCACACTGGAGAAATCCACTCTCTGCGTTTAACCCATTCCCTTGGAGAGCAGTGGGTAGCCATTTGCCGGCCCGGGGAGCAGTGTGGGGTTAAGGGTCTTTCTCAGGGACCTAGAGTGGCAGTCTGCCAGTAATACGGTCCCTTTAGCAACTTTTGAAATGTGTAGTGTTTTGGTAGTTATCTGTAAAGACTTTGGATTTGTTAAAGCATGGGAGGAAGGTATCAGAGCTCAAATGTAGCACCAATTAAGACAACCTGCATCTCTAGGCCTCAGGGTTCTAGTGCTAGAACCCTGAACTGAGCTTGAACTCTAGACTTCAGAAATGCTTTCTCACTGCATGAGTCGCTGTTATGTGATTTTTGTTATATTTAGTCTCTTTTCTTGTGTGGAATTCAGCTCACTTTGGTTTGCTTTGCTTTTGAAAACTTGCGGGTTACTATTTCGCAGTATAGAATGGGGGATTGATGCAGAAGCTTTGTTGTGTTTAAACTGTGCGTTTCCTCATTCCGGTTCTGCCACAAATGAAACCAAACACAAACGCAGCGGAAGACCTTGCAAACTAAGCTCTGATGATACTCAGCAATTTATTTTGGCTGTCGAGCTGGTTCCAGGTCTGCTGTGGGTGATTAAACAGATATGTTCGCACACAACCCATGAGCTTGCTTTGGCTTCTGCTATCGCTAAGGTGTCGCTTTTACAACTGCAGTCAAACCAGCGGTTTGCACAGCAGTGTTTTGCTTTTTTATTTTTACCACTTCCTGTCTCTATGCAAAGCCTATCAGAGGGAGATTGAACTGTCAGGGGTGAGAAGTTTATTTTCGTCAACAAACGCTGAGCTAGAGGAAGCGGCGTTGTTCAGTGGCCTTGTGCAGGAGAGGGATTGGTGAGTGATTTTTCACTGCTTGGGGTCATGTCTCTATGCAGATCTTATTTATTTGTCATGCAAAAGCAAAAGCAGCTGAGATAAATACAGGGCCACGTGTTTCATCATTGTTGTGCTGTGGTTCACTGAGAGAAATTCATGCTCTCTTGTACAGCAGACTTAAAAAACAGAAACTGCAGCTGTTCATCCTAGAAGCATGAAGAGTAATAGTATCTGATTGAAATAAAGCCCACATATATAGGATTAAATGAAATAATAAATAATGTAGGTGTCTTTTCTTTTCTTGGTTGCGACTGATTTTATATGAGGTCTGATTTACCACTTCTCGCTTTCTATTTCATTTGTTTTTATTTTTCTAACTACTATAAAAAGCCTGCGGCTGATTCTTAGTTAAAGATCTATGCTTTACCCAACAGAAATTATATAAATTAAGTGATTCTTCATGTCTCTATTGAAGGTTTTGTTCCAAAACATTGTCTTTTTTTTTTTTTTTTTTTTATCAAACTGTATAAAAGTCAACCAGAAAACATTCGGTTTAATGTGTTAAAAGACTGACAATGCCTTGATGAGCAGGAAAAATAGATTTTTAAAATGAAAGAATAAATTGAAGAATGAAAAATCAAAGCTAATATGGAACCGTTTACTAATTCTAAACCCTGTTTTTTCATTGGTCCATCCGTATCTGTGTGGTTGCAAAAAAAAGTCTTATTTTTAACATTTTTCATCTGGTCTCTTATAGCAGAGGTGTTAATTATCTGTTAAAAATAATTGACACTAGTTACATAAAGAGGTGTGAGTTATATCATTAAACATATTGCATTTAATCATAATCCAATGTCCCAATGGAAAAATATAGAAAATATTATAATAAAAACTCACAATTCACTCATTTGTTTAAGTTTCTTATCATTGCTAATTCCAATGTATTATTTAGAGCAGGGATCTTCAACGTTTTCAAAGCCAGGGACCCCCAAACTGATTGCGAGATTAAGCGGGGACCCCCTAATTATATATATTGTATGAAATTGTGTTATATCAAACTGGTCCTATAGTCACTCTATTACATATTGAGTCATGTAACAAAAGTAATTTCTTCCTGGGATTATTAAAGTATTTCTGAATCTGATTCCTGGTTGATGGGACAGGTGTGGTGAATGAATCGGTGCCCAGGTTTAAAAGAGCTCTTGTGTGTCGCTGTATGTGTGCATTGATGACTGAAAGACATCTTCTGCTTTCATTTATCTGTTTACTACAGTGTGTTGAATTCATGTTAATGTGTATTTAAAGACATTTTAATTAGTGCAAAAAATTGCAGGAGGGAATATAAAAAAAGCAATCAACCAAGACTTTCGCGACCCCCATGCAGTACCTCCGCGGATCCCCCAGGGGGGCGCGGACCCCCTGTTGAAGACCTCTGATTTAGAGGATAGATCGAAATTGCTATCATGACTAGAGATCTATCACGATATTGATAAACAATATGACAAATGCCAACCCCTTTTTCATTAGAAAGTTGTTTCTATATATTGAGATTTTCTGGGTCAAACATTCAATTTATGCACAATATTTGGAAAGTGTTAAATTATATTGGTAAAGTCGCAATACCAACAAGACCTGCGATTAATACAGAACATGTGCCTGTTCACATACTATGACATAATGCATTACTATGCCAGTAGCTCCCTCTAGTTGCATACAAAGGCTTAATATATTTCATTTTTGTGTTTTACTCCTTGTTTTGGATCAATTTTTCGGTTAACTTGAGCTTTTTTGTATTTACCATAACAAGCCCATGTAACCAGAGATATTGCACAAGTAAACATGGAAGTAATGGAGGCAAGCTGTTCAGCGTTTCCCCGGCAAAGGTCTAAAAAATAGGAAAGTATCAAAATCAAGTGTGAACAAAGTGCCAATGATTCTCGGATGTCCAGAGAGAGAAGACATGAGTAGTTCTCTGAATACAAGGTGACAATTGTTAATTGAAGCTGGGGCTAAAGCTTCAGAGCTGGTAGGATAATGGATGAGTGGGCCGGTACTGCCAGCAGATGGCAACGGCTTACAACAGAGTTTATGTCTGCTGATTGTGCTTGGTGCAAAAGTTCTTTTCAGGGCTAAAAAACATTAGCTGGACAAACGTTTGTCATATGTTTCTTTATTTTAACAGGAAAATATTGTTTTCTTTGTTTTATCTTTAGATTTTTTCTAAATGACATTGTATATGCCTAAGACCCAAAAGTATTACTATAGAAGACTGTATGTTTAATTTGCACTAATTTCAGATTTCTCATCAATTAAATCTTCCTCGGTCAGAAGGAATATGTCGACTCAATCGGTGCAGCTTAGAGGGTTTATTGATAGAATAGAAGCAGGTACATTGGAGATGATGGTACAGATGATGAGGTTTATATTTGGTTTAGTATGTGAATGTGTGGTTATCTGAAACAGAAGAAAAACTAAAGGTATATATTTATAGCCATGTAGGCAAAACGGGTACATATAGATGCAGAATGAAAACAGCCTGTAGTACCATAGAAATCCACTAGATTAACCCCACACATGCATTATCGGTCAAATGCAATAAACATACAACTGACAAAAACTGTCGGAAAATATGAAATGAATGGTAATTCCATCATATACTGATAAAATGACAATGTATCTGGCAAAGTATAACAAGAAACTTGAGTTATTGTAAGTAAACTCTTGCATTATCAGTAACCAGAGAAACACGAGGATGATTTCCCCCCCTAGATAATAACGTACATTAAACACAATATCAGACATGAAATGTATAGTTGCGTTGTAAAAAAAACGCACACAGGTTTCATATACACTGAATTAAGGAAGGATTAACGGTGGATGCTATTTTTATGCCACCGAACCACCCAGAAGCACAGAACAAAACAACTTGCTTAGCGACATGAAATTGGAACTACAAAATGAACAGATGCATCATGGGTAATGTGGTACTAAACAAATGGATGGACTTTTAACAATTACTGTATTTCTGCTTTTGGGTCACAGAAAACAGAAACGACAGATAATGAGTCTGTCTAGCTACCCTTCAAAACAATAAGTATTTAAAAAATATAAAATTCTTTTAAATAAGAGATACCTGCTGCCAATAACATGCATATGTCCTGATCAACGTCCATCATTTGTGATTGTTTCTAAATCAGGGGAGTGGTGGCCTAGTGGCTATAACATTGCACTTTGGTCTCGGAGGTTCTGAGTTCAAGTCCCCCACACTCCCCAAGACTGCCACTCTGGGTCCCTGAGCAAGACCCTTAAACCCAGACTGCTGCCAGGGCGCCAACAGTGGCAGCCCACTGCTCCCTAAGGGAAAGTGGTGTCAAAAGTTCACACATTTGTTATTTAAGCAGAAGTATAGATACCGCAGTTTAAAAACACTCTGGTAAAAGTTGAAATATCAACTTGACCTCTTTACTCAAGTAAAAGTGAGAAAGTAACTGCTCCAAAAACTACTTAAAGTATAAAAATATAAAGTAATCTTTTGAAAAAACAGCCAGATGCCCCTTTATGAACTGAAAGCCAATTTTTTTCGAAAATTTCTTTGAGATAGGGCCAAGGATGAGGGAGGTCTTGCTGGTCTCCATCTCCCGATACGCTCGCCCCTGTGTCCGACCTTTCAGACATTTCAACATCTTTTTCTGAATCCGACATTGTAGCATGGCATAGACAATTCATGTTTGCAGTTTGAAGAACACATGCTTGCTTCTGATGATTTCCTTTAGCTAACCAATGAGTGTTTGCGTTATATGACTCATCCAATTACACTAGTTTTCACTAGATATAGATGTAAGGAATAGAAAGTACAGATACCTGTGTGAAAATGCAATGAGTAGAAGTCAGAAGTAGGAAGAACAATAAGTAATGGAGTAAAGTATAGATACCTAAAAAGTGTACTTAAGTACAGTTACAAAGTATTTGTACTTCGATACTTGACAACTCTGCCAAGGGGATGGGTCAAATGCAGAGAGTGAATTTCGTTGCTCTGTACTTGTGATAGTTTAATGACAATAAAGTAGAATTCTATTCTGTGTTAATATTCCACCCTGTATACATACAGCTCATTAAATGTTTCTTTCTTGGTTGCTGGAAATGTTTTTTGTTCCAAGTAGAAAAGAATATTCATACCATGTACTTGACATCAAGGAGTTTTTTTTTCATGTCTTTTTTGGCATATTAATCCAAAGCTTTGGTTATCTTACTTATTGTTTTCTTCTGTGTTTTTCACCAGACCTAAGGCATACGGAGAAACACAACAAACACCAGAAAAGACGCTTTTTGCCCTTTCTTCACAGCCTTGAAGGCTGCACCCCCCCAGAACTTTGTGGTCATCTCCCCCTGCAGTGTTTTATTGTGCTGATCAACTCAGAGCAGGGGGACTGGACAGGAGACCCAGAGGTTCCCGCCGCTGCTCTAAGCTGTGCCTGGCAATGCCTCAGGTAAGAGGTATAACAAGATAATCCATGTTTACATGTAGATATATACGCAGTCGTCATGATGTCTGTTTTATTCCTTTTTAAATGAATCTAGTGAAAATATTTAATAATTCTTGTATTTAAATGCTTGAAAAAAAAATAAGCCGGTGCGGACAGAGAAGATCACAAGATTTAGATGGTCTAGCAATAAAGAAGCGCTGTGTAAATGGCCAAATATTAGTTTAATTTGAACTGTATTAGATCATTTTTTTCGGTTATAACACAATATTTGGCATGTATCGGGCTATCCCTATCAAGAACTTGCTTGTGTAACTGTAAGTTTAGTATCTTTTCAAAGCACACATAATAAGAGTAAGAAAAATCAGTCAAATTAATTGTTTTTGGGACTGATGACATAAATCTAAAAGGAGATCAAACCCTTATATCACATTTAGCTTTAGCTTGTTTAGCTCTCATGTTGAAGGGAAGCTGTAAAGTGGTGCTCTGCGTAACATGACTCATTTAGTGACAGATCTATACCTCTTTTGTTACATTGGAGATTGCATGGAGTATCAATAGAAGTGCTGTATATTGACCTGAAAATTAATTTAATGTCTCAAATTCAGTTCTTATTTGGATCAAAACCTACACACTGTTGCTTTAACATAACACAGTGTATTCAATTCTTTATCCTTGTTGCTCACTCGGTATGTCTGGTTTCTCTCTCTATTACCCTACAGCCCAGCGTCAGTGGGATGGAGCCTCCCTTTGGGGACGCCTTTCAGAACTACTCATTCGCTGACCAGGCCCTAACCAGCACCGAGTTGCTGGCCACCAGCTCTGACCCAGATTTCATGTACGAGCTGGTGAGTGAACATGACGGAACACACACGTAAAATAAATCCACAAACCCACAACCATCCAGCAATCTGGTTTCAAACTTTATCATCCATGCTTTGAGTCTATTTTCTCCTTACAAAATTTAAAACTGCTGACATAATGCTATCACTAATTTACATCCAATTGTAGTCTAACTTTGGTAGTTGTAAGCTGCCTTCTTAAATTATGCAAAAAAATTGTCATTAAACAATGTCACTAATTTGTCATTTAATAGTGCTACTCTAAGGCTACGTTCACACTGCAGCCTGAAGTGACCCAAATCCGATTTTTTTTTTTTTTTCCCATATGCGACCTGGATCTGATCTTTTCATGACAGTCTGAACAACACAGATTAAATTTTTTTTTCCAATGCGACCCAGGCCACTTGGCTATGTGGTCCTGAATCCGATACGAATCTGATCTTTTCAAATGCGACCCATGTCTGAACGGCCAGGTCGCATTCATCCGACCTGAATGTCATTAATACCCGACAAACGTCACTATTATGCGTCTTGCTGCGCAGAAGCAGCAAGAAAAACAACGACCATGGCAGATGATGATGCGGGGAGCAGTATTTATGTTTAAACATATTGAAAAGATTGTGTTTTTATAGTTGGAAAAGACCGCTAGATGCGCGCCGGCACTACCATCCATGTTTACTTCCGGAAAAAAAGAGCACGCTGGCCTGTGACATCATTGCGTCCTCTACTGCGCAGGCGGGACACTTGCGTTGTATGACTGCAGTTCACACAGGATCACATAAAAGTCGCATATATTTGTAAATATGAACGGCAACGCGAAAAAATCGGATTTCACAAAAAAATCGGAATTGTGCATCAAGGCCTGCAGTGTGAACGTAGCCTAAGACCCTGACTCATTAATGGTTTGTGTGTAAAAAACATTGTCTGTTTAGCTGCAGCTAAAATGCACCTTTGACATGAGTAAAATAGCACCGTTCATGAAGCGTTTTTGCCATATACTCATCAGAAAATAAAAAAGGGGGGTGATATGCAAATGTGAAGGCCTACCCCGCTGCTCATTTGTTTTTTATCAAACCTTCAACTTAATTGCACGTACATTGGCTGCATCTATAGCAAATTTCTGCTGTCATTTGTGGCCAGAAGGCGACACGGTTAGAATGACGGATGACAGACAGACTGGCTGTGGACATGGGAACATTGAAATAAAATTATAAAAGCAGAAAAAACATACTTATTAAGTAATTTATTCTTAGGAAATGCTCCTTGAAACAAAATTTTCTTGCATCTTGATCATTTCAACACATCATCGCTGTTATTGGTGACTTTTTTCTTTACTCATCCACACCTATCTTCTCCACATTGCCATCTTACCTGTTATCTGTGTGCAGTGCTGTTGTAAATTGAATCCAATCTGCCCTCCAAAATGCTCCATGTTGAAATCCTCTTTAAGTTGGGAAGTCTTTTGGACTAATTATCAAGTGTGGGCACAATCTTAGCAAATTGCTCTCAACACATTCACTGGTTGAATGTATTGCTTTTTGTTTGTACAAGAAATAAAGCGTTCCTTCTTTGGGGTCACTGTAAATCAGGGCTCAAGTGTTTAAAACTTTTACACATCTAGAAAAATAAACCTGCTTGCATTGACAGCTAGTCAGAATACTCATTTTGAATTGGGGCAATATCTACTAATCATTGAACAAACTGATTAATTTGATGACTGTTTTTCTGGTTAATTTATTAATAATCAGATAACTGTAATTGAATAAAAAAATTATGTTAAAAGGTGTAACCTTTCACAGACTAATTATTTAATAGAAGATTTCAGAGGTTTGTGGGAGAATACTGGTGCAAGAACCTGTTTCCGTCAGCTTTTAGATCAGCAGATAACTGTTGTTAATGTTGCAGTGAGAAATCCTACAAGTCATGCAGAAAGAGCCCTGGTGGGAGGCTTTATTCAAAGGTGCAGACGGTAAACTCCAACGTAGCACCAGAAGTTTATTTGTAAGCATCTTCTCTAGCTGAGCTGTGCTGTGTGAAAACACTCTCCTCTGCACTCTGTCAGCACACAACTGCTCATCCTGGTCTTTACCTAAAGGTATTATGTTACCTCTAACACAGAACTGATTAAATATCTAACACCATAAGCAACACTAATGGTAGCCCACTAGTTATTCTGTCATAGAAAGTCTCAAATTACTTCTCCATGTTTTAAACAGGGTAAAATGCATTTAAATCTCCAATAGTAGAACCAAAATCCCCCTTTTTTTTAAACAATGCAGACGATTGTTCATTTTTCTATAGAGGCATTAGTAACAAATGTTGCACAATTCTCAATTAAACACAAAAGAAACATTTATTACCAAAACAAACAAAATGTTAACCATGGATAGCATACTCTTCACGTGATCCTAAGGCATGGCTGCTGAATGCTGATGGAGCACATATCCAGGTATTGGCCGATGCCAATTTGGGGAAAAAAGGCTAATATTGATTGGCTGATGTACCAATCTTATTGTGCTTTGGTTCTTCTTCCATTAGTTTTTTTTTTTTTTTTAACAAATGCATGGTTGATTCTTTATTCATGCTGTGGCACTGGTTCTCAGAATGTGAGAACTGTAAAAAACCTAAGTTTCTGAGTTAAAAACATCACAAATTGTTGCCGTTCTCTGAGCTTTTTTCTTTTTTACCTTATCCACTAACAGCTCTTTACATAGTTTAACTACTACAAAGTTAAACTGCTGGAGATCTTGAAATTAAAACCCTAAAATCACCCGATTACCTTGCAGATACTTTGGGATACCTTGTCTTTCCTAATTAAAATGCTGATAAAACCTATTTTTCCTCTGGTATGTTTGAAATCTTGCAGCTAAGCATGCAGCATCTGACTTTGTGTGACATTCATTAAGACCAAAGCCAGTATTCCTTTCAATACGCCCATTTTCCTGCTGATGACAGACATTCCTCACAATACTTACTGCATATAAACAGAATTAAACAAAGCCTTGCTTACAGCTGCAGGTCTTGATGCTCAACTCAGATTTTTTTGCAAATATCTGAGGTTTTTCTGAAATGTTTGTTCAGACAACTACTTAAATGCAGTCACCATGAGATTCCTTTCCAAATGCTTTACAGCGCCAACATGCCCCTCGTCACACAGAAGCAAACTGTTTAGGGAATGTCAGATGTAGTATCTCTGTGTTAGTATAAGCTGTTGAATAACTGGAGCCAACAGTATTATGATCACATCACAAGATGAGGTAAGGTTAAAAAAAATGAGAGCAGAACTATTGGTAATGTGTTTTTGTGGAACAGTGAGAGGATTATGTGTGAACAAGAAGTCTGGGTGATGACATCAAAGTCTGATGAAATACGACATGATCCTTTAGACTGCAGGCTGTTTAAAAGCTATAAGATAGATCTCCATACCACATATGGCAGCGGCACAATTCAAGGTTGTTTGGAGAGGAAAAAAAGAAGGAAAAGGTCAGAATTGAGTCAATGGAAAAAGGTCGATATGGGCAAAAAAATCAGATCTGATCAGTGTGAAAGTTGCCTTAGAGACGTTATATAAAACATTATCAGACCATGTTAGCTATCCAATTACATCAAAATTTGTTTTCAAAGCTGAGCGTTTTGGAATTAAAAAATTTGAATAATTTATTTAGTATAGGCTCCTCCATAAAAATGTGTTTCTGTTGATAAATATGTCTCATGCTAGTATTTGAAAGAGTATTACTTTTAGTTTCTGATGTGTATCCGTAGTGATGACATCAAAGCTAACCAATCAGGATTAAAATCTACATTTTCTGCAGAGAACAGCTTCCCTCCTTTTTTATTTTTTTAAAAGAACTCTAAATATAAATAAAATATGGAGCTCTTTGCCAGAATTTCCACTGGAATTTCAAACACAGAGGCCTGTTACCCCGTTGTTTGACATCCTCGATGCATTTGTCAGGCTTCATAGCAGGTTTAAACAGAAACTCTTCTAGCTGTCAGCTACAGGTGTCCGCTTCAATTAACTTCCCGCTCCAGACTAAACAATAGTGATCCACTGCTGCGCATTCGATTTCCTGCTCTGTAACAGACACGTTCACTGGATGCTGGGACATGCGATCGGTCTCCTTTTTAGTCTGCTTCATGGATTAAAGCCACATGACTTCAAAAAAAAAGATATTTGGTAAAAACTAGTTTATTAAAAGGTTTAAGATGAATTCTTCTCTGTTTTAAGTGAATTCATTTTATAAGTTATTCACTGTAACTCATTATAAACTCCATCAGTTATTATGGTAACCCTGTTGTGATAGATGATTGAAAATTACGCCTAAATGAGTCGGATATAGACTAAAGTGAAGCCGAGCTGCTGCTGTAGCAGATAAGTGATCAGTTTACATGCTTTCCAGTTCAGGTGAAGTTATTGCAGGCAAATTCTGTTTTGTTCTTCATATTATCACTAATTACGTAAATTGAAAAAGCTTTGCCACTTAGGTGATCATAACCACCAGCTGGGAAACACATTTAGTTGTATTAAAATTCTATAGTGTTAAAAGTTTTGAAATTGTTGAAATGTTATTATGGATTATAGTTCTTGAAAAGAAGCTGGATTCCAAGAATAAGTGTTGTTAAAGGAATAGTACACCCAAAACATGATTAGCCTTCATTTTCTACTCACCCCCATGCTGAACAACACTCTGGAGTACTTTTTTGATATCTCAAATGCATCTGGAGATCTGGGAGGCTTCTTGCTGTCTGCTGACATTCAAATAATGGAGGTCTATGGCGCCCGAGACAGAAAGGTCCATAAAAGTCCACAAAAAACGTGTCAATATTCCTCCATACTGCTCGTCCAATGTATTCCAAGTGTCCTGAGTGGGTAGCATCCAGAATTTACTCGAAACGAAGTCATTTAGAATGTTTTTAGAGCATAAACAGTAGTGTATAGGATTTCCTGAAAGCGCGTTCACAAGTCTACGGAAACTGCGGCAGACCAACCCAGACGAAAGTGCGCATTCAGCTCAGCAAAGAACTCATGCTCTTCCTCAACACTGAAGTCCTCAGACATTTTTCTTTCGTTGTTTCTTTCTTTGCACAGGTAAACAGCACATTTCTTCTTCTACGCTTGCATTATTGGCAGAGCAGACGCTGAATGCGCACTTTCATCTGGTTTGGTCTGCCGGCTTCCGTAGCGTCGTGAACGCGCAGGTGCGCGCTTTCAGGAAATCCTATACACTACTGTTTATGCTCTAAAAACATTCTAAATGACTTCGTTTCGAGTAAATTCTGGATGCTACCCACTCAGGACACTTGGAATACATTGGACGAGCAGTATGGAGGAATATTGACACGTTTTTTGTGGACTTTTATGGACCTTTCTGTCTCGGGCAGCATGGACCTCCATTATTTGAATGTCAGCAGACAGCAAGAAGCCTCCCAGATCTCCAGATGCATTTGAGATATCAAAAAAGTACTCCAGAGTGTTGTTCAGCGTGGTGGTGAGTAGAAAATGAAGGCTAATCATGTTTTGGGTGTACTATTCCTTTAAGCAGCTCTACTCCTCATCCAGTTGTTACTGAGAACTATTGCTCTGCAAGCTTTTCATATTTAGTTTTTTTTTTTAACTCAAGATATTTTTTATTGAGTTTTACATAAACAAAAAAACAGAGCACAGTTATATTGTGTTGCAAGGCAGGCTTATAGAAGCCAGTTGAACAAGTTGCTCATACAAAAGAGTGTTAAAGTAAAAGATATATAAACTTCACAAATAGGGAAAGTAGCATGACAACTACAATAAAACAAGTCAAGTAATGAAGCACAAAGATATAATACAATAAAACAAACAAAATAACCCCTTCCCCATCACCCAACCAGTCACTGCCGAAACTATATCATCACTCCACAGCATTCAGGACCCGCCTAAGGTAGAATCAGTGCCGTTGAGCTTGTCTGAGCAATTAAAGAGCTGGAAATGCTTTCAAGAAATGGCCCCACAAATTTTCAAATGTATCAAGAGACTGTTTAAGTGAGTACCTGATCTTTTTGAGTTTTAGACAAGACATAATATCTTGCAGCCACTGTGAATGAGATGGTGGGGAGGCATCTTTCCAGCTGAGTAAGATTGCACGACGTGCCAAAAGTAAAGTCATATTTAGTTGTTTTTTTTAAAGATGTGAATATATTATTTATGTTATCTATGTTTGATAGAACAGCTATATCACCATTGTTTTCTGTGTTTTCAGCTGATCTCTAGCAACCTAAAAAAATACTTAAAAAATAGCTCGAGTATCAACAACAAAAACAAAGAAGCTGACTTTGGATCAGACTTCCACCTATAAATCAGTGCTTTAGCTCTAATTCACCAGCTGTGTTTTTTATTTTAGTTTGCTCTTGTTTCTCTACAGGACACAGACATGAGCCACCAGCAGAGTCCCTGTGGGGACAGCGTGGTGGGCATTGGAGATGGAGGCAAAGAAGTGGAGGGAGGAGTGGATCAGCTCATGGGGCTGGTGGAGTGTGAAGCGGTGCACAGCACCTCAGCTTTCGAACAGTGGGACTCGTACTGGGAAGACCTCACCAGGTACCAGACGTTTTATCTGTTGTGGCATCTTTCTAATTTCCTGTGATGTCATCTTTTTTTTTTTTATACCACCTGTTCTTTTTCACATCTGGTTATTTGGTGACAAAACATTTTCTTTTATAAGATTGTGTTATAAAACAATTGTCTAATGGCCTGTAGTTTTACAAATGTTTCTACAAAAGCATCTGAAAAGTCACCTGCATTTGTTTTCGGTACCACAGAACAAACCCTGGTGCAACAAGTCTCCTCTCCGAAGTCTGTAAATTAGCAAACAAAATCCGTCTGTTAATGAACCGCTGTATGAATCCTGCAGTTCGGAAAATCCTCAGAGACTTACGGGAGACCAATAGTGGATAAACAGCATTGAAAAAAACAATGAAGCTAAATGTTGCTTCATGGTGTTAAGTGATTGGGGGGCTGCTGTGATTAAATCCTTCTGTTTGTAGGAAGGTACTGCCTGTATAGATGTTTAGTTGAATTTATTTTACCGAAACACGTGAAAAGAGTAACATTCCTTATAGCAACAACTAAGTGATCAAAAAAGTAAGCTCTTTTTTTTTTAAAGTGCTGTTTTAGTGAAAATGGTCCCGTTAACTGCTCTTTCTCTGGGTTCTGAGTGTAGAAGCTGAAGGCGGATCAGCTTGCTCCCAGATCCAGTGAAGAAACATCCTGTGATCTTTCTGCTTTTTTTCTTGGAATTGCTGTCGTATAAAAATGTTCTGCCGTTCCCAGGAATCTGACTCTGGGAAACATTAAACTGATTCCCAAAACAAAGAGAAAAACAAGGTGGACATCTGCTGTTTTGCTTGGGGCATTGTAGCAGTTCAGGCAAGAATTACAAAATATACAGGCCACAGTTATACAAGCAGGTTAACATAATTTTTCATTGTTGAATAAAAAAAAAAATATATATATATATATATATATAAAAAGCCTTAAAGCTCTGTTTGAATCACACACTGTGCCTTTTTTTAATTGCAGAGCTTAAAAAACTGAAGAAATGACAATATACATTTATAATTAGTTGGTTTAACTTTTGCAATTTTTTTGCATCATATTTAGATCAACAAAGAGCTACTTTGAGCAAAGCAGAGAGAGCATAACGTTAGACATTGAACTACCAGATTCTGCAGAGTGGGAGAGTAGAGATAGAATGATGAAATTGGGGTCCCCATGTCCTCCAGCAGTCTAAGCCTATAGCAGCATAACTATAGAGATAGCTCAGGATAACCTGAGCCGCTCTAACTATAAGCTTTTTCAAAAAGGAAAGATTTAAGCCTAGCCTTAAAGAAGACAGGGTGTCTGCCTCACAGACTAAAACTGGTAGTTGTTTCCACAGGAGAAGAGCCTGATAACTAAAAGATCTGCCTCCCATTCTATTTTTAGAAATTCTAGGAACCACTAGTTCTTCAGTCTACTTTAAGTTTACTAACTGTTACGACCACCCAGGCCACAACATATTTGAGGACACGAGACAAACATGAGGTTCAAAAGAATTATTTTATTTTTAATCTCTGGAACTTCTTTTTAGATCAGGTGTTTTGTTTTTTGGCAAGGGGCCAAAAAAAGGGGTTCGGTTTTTTCCCCCATTTCCCGTTTTCCAATTAAAAAAACTCTCCTAAGGAAGAAAGTAGTGAAACAAAAAACAAAGTATGAACAGAAAGTTGGACCTGGTGAGCCGATCCAAAGAAACAAAACGTTACTGCAGAGGGCCCCACCCTATACAGGGCCGTCAAAGTCTCTGCTAGTAACGAACTACCGGTTAAAACTCTAATAAAAATAAATAAGAACGAAAACAGGACAACCGGTCCGACCAGGTCAAAGTTACAAAAAATCAGCAAAAAACAAAGGCTAACGAACAAAAATACCGCATGGCAGGCTGGAGAGGTCAGCGGCGGCCTACAAAGACAGGAGACGTGCGCATCGCGTCAGGACGCGCTCTCTGGGGCGGTGGATCGCTCAGAAGGCTGGGAGGGAGAGAGAGAGAGAGAGCGAGACTAACAGGTGGAAACCCCGGCTATAAGCGGACCAATATCCCACAAATTAACATAATCGATTTACAAAAGAACAAAGAATTATCAAGACTCTAAAAAATAAGTGATTCAACTAAGGTCTATGCAACACTAGAAGAAAAAATTAATAAATAATGAATGTGCCTGACGCACATAACACTAACGCATTGAAAAGAAGTGCTTGTTTACAGCTGTGGGCCCTGCAGGTTTGAGATGATATGCAAGAAAAACTGTAGAAACTGTTACTTGCATCAATAAGTATGTTGAAATATTTCAAGATCTTTGAAGGTAGATGTGTTTAAACCCGGAGCAAATGGGGAACAAACGCTTATTCAACATGATTATATGTTTTAATCATGCACAGATACACACGACTGGCCAGCTGTGACATCTGGGGAACCAAAGAGGTAGACTTCCTTGGCCTGGATGACTTCTCCAGTCCCTACCAGGATGAGGAGGTGATCAGTCGAACCCCGACGCTGGCTCAGCTCAACAGCGAGGATTCACTGCCCGTCTGTGAGACTCTCTACCCTCCCGCTGACCTCACGCTTCCCTGCTCCCAGCCTCCATCCCAGCTGACCCCCTCTCAAAACAAAAGACTCCAAGGCCCGGGTGCCAGCTTGGTGCGACCTTCCCCGTGCTCCACATCCTCTTCCCAATCCCGTCCTTCCAGAAGCCTTTTCGCAGACTTTCCTGAAAGCTCCCAAAAAGCAACCAGACCCGTTCCTTCCAGCACTGAGACTATGGCTAAAACCCAGAACCAGCTCAGCCTCATCCAGGACCACACCCAGACTCAGCCCAAGTCTCTGGGACGAGGGGCTAAGATGGCTGGTCCCACATCTCACAGCGCTGACTTTGTGCGGAAAGCCAAAGTACGTGTGAGTTCTGGACCCAGAGCTCAAAGCGAGGCGATCCCCCAGACAGATTTCACGGGCTCAGATGCGCCCCTCCCTCTTTCCCAGCCTCAAGACGAGAAGCCCTCCACTTCAGCAAGTGCCACCTTGGTGGGCCGTCCCACCCCCACAGCCAGCAGCTCAGCTAGCTTGGCAAGCCTCGAGAGGAAAGCCGAGGGGGTTTTACGGAGGGAGACACCTGTAGGAAGGTCGTCTGCTGTGCCTCCGCTGGTTGATGCGAAGCAGACTCTGTGTGGCCCGTCTGACGCTGCAGCATGCAGTGCCGGCAGCGGCGCGGCTTTGGTCATGGAAGACCCGGAACAGAGCAAGGAGGAGGAACACAACTACTCTCTGTTCCTGACCCGCAGCAGAGCTCACTCGCAGTTGGAGGAAGACGAAGAGGAGGAAGATGACGAGGAGGCAGAGGAGGACGAGGGCGACGGGCTCGACTTAGACGACGAAGACCACGATGAGGGTTTCGGCAGCGAGCATGAGCTTTCAGAGAATGAGGAGGAAGAGGAGGAGGAGGAAGAGGAAGAAGAGGACGAAGACTATGAGGCAGATAAGGATGATGACATGAGCGACGCCTTCTCCGAGCCAGGTAGACACCTTTCTGATTAAAATCTCTCCTTTTCAGTTTTTCTTTAATTCTGTTAATAAAACTCAGATTCTCTGAAATATTTTCTCAACAATTCTGGTTCTTTTTTATTTTATTTAATTTCTTAGGCTATGATATGGAGCTGATGGAGGACATCAAAGGGCTGACAGCTGGAGTCTCCAGCCGTAAAAGAGGCAAGCGTCGTTATTTCTGGGAGTACAGCGAGCAGCTCACCCCCTCCAAACAGGAACGGATGCTGAAGCCCTCTGAGTGGGACAGACACACGCTGCCGAGCAACATGTACCAGAAGAACGGGCCTCTCCACGGTACACAGACACACACTCATAGGATCCAGTGATTCTGCATCTTTTTTTAATGAAAGTTTGCGGTAGTGAGAAAGAACATTCAGATGATAGCTCACACTTTACTAGCATACACTCCTGATTAAAAAATCTTTAGACGTGTTAAAAAAAGAGAGTAAAAGTTGTGATTGTATCTCAGTTTGGTGGAATTGACCCCAGCTTCACGTTTATTTTCTCTCGCCTCCATATATACTTATCAAAATTAGTATAGATATCTTTAATGCTCCCATGAGGTGTCCAAATAACCATGGCAACAGTGTTTTCATTCCGTCACGAGACTTTTGCCGTTTCTCAGTTCATGAGAACGTGAGTACGGACTAAGTCAACATATATATATATATATATATGTTGACTTAAAGAGGAACGCTGTTTTTTTTTTTTTTTTTTTACATTGGGCTCTTGAATTTACGTTATTACATCATGTTCTACTCACCCATATGAGTTTTGTGTCATTTGGAGCTGTTCTGAAGATATTCCGTTAGGTTATATCCAAGTAACGTCTTCCTATGGGCAACGAGTTGAAGGCACAAACTAAACTGTTCATAATTTATTCTTTATGTAACGCCAGCATTCATAACATGTAGGCGAATCACTGTCCCCCAAACATCTGTGGTTATATTTTTTATTTAAATCTTTTAAAAACAAAGCGAGTGTTTATGACATCATCTTAATGTAAAAAAAAAAACCGGCATTCCCATTTAAAGGTAAGACAAGATAAATTTTTTTTTTTTCTTAAGTGATTTATTTGTATTTTTACATCATAAACACCTGTTGTAAATTTTTGTTAGCCATTTTACATTAGGCTACGAAAACATTAGCCTTATGGCGTCTGGTTCTCCCTACATGGTGGCGGTCGGATGGCTGGGTGGCGCCCGTGTAAGTCACCTCGCTTCTGTCATTGAGCCACGGTGCAGCTGTGGCTACTATCTAGCTTTGCACCATCAGTGTATGAAAGGGTGAATGATGAATTATTGTAAAGTGCTTTGGAGGCCCCTGACTTGCACAAGTGCTATATAAGTACCATACGTGACCATTTAATTCAGTATTTTGTCCTTTAGTTGTGTCTGAGGCTGTGATGATGACCATAAAAGAGGATGTTCATGTTCTGAAATCAAATCAGCATCTTTCATTTTGCAGGTTAACATGCGCAGGTCTTTTATATAGCAGAGGAAATGAAAAACTATCTGAAGCAAATTACCCACCTTCCTATTTATGCAAACCCTCCGGTTTTAAATAATGCTGATGTGTTGAAAGAGTCTTGATGGACTTGTGTGAATGGAAAAAAAAAAAAAAAAAGCCAATTAAAGGCTTGTTACATCTGAGGGTTGGGATTAAGAAAGCACTCAGCAGGGACACAGACAGCTCGTTTTAGCTTATAAATGTTTATTGTCTGCTGGATGGTACTCATTAAAGAGAATATGTCCATTACAAGTCCGATTAAAATGGGCAAAAAGTACTTTTTATAGGGAAATCTGTAGTTTTATTGGATAATTTCCAGTATTTTCTTTCAATAAATCTACTAAAGGAAAAATAATTTTTAAAGGACAGAGCTCCTACACACTTATTGATCACCCTAATTAAAAAAAAAAGAAAGAAAAGGAAAAAAAACATCACTGAGCTGCAGAGGCACCTGACCAAATATCTATAGTTAACTTACCTGAGCTTTTCCTGGCCTGCCTCCTGCAGTTATTTCACTGTGAAGCCTTAGTTTTATTCACTTACTGTTTTCTATGCATGCTAATTAAATATCATATTTTTGCTTTCTTTTTTAAAGGGAAATATATGCTAAAGAAGTCCCGGCGCACAGATGTGGAAGACCTAACTCCCAACCCTCGCAAGCTGCTGCAGATCGGCACAGAGCTTCGCAAGTTGAACAAGGTGATCAGCGACCTGACCCCGGTCAGCGAGCTGCCGCTGACAGCACGGCCGCGGTCTCGAAAGGAAAAGAACAAGCTGGCGTCCAGGTAAAATGTAATGCATGCATAGATTGTACAGGCAGAGCTACAAGGATCCACTGTTGGTGAGTAACTCTCCTTCATCTGTTTGGGATTTAGGGCCTGCCGTTTAAAAAAGAAAGCTCAGTATGAAGCAAACAAGGTGAAGCTCTGGGGACTCAGTACGGAGTACGGTGAGTTCTTTCTCCAGGTCTATTACAATATTTGGTTCTTACAACCTCTGATCTTGGGAACATGTTTTTTTTTTATGTGTTCTGATGATTAAAAATGACATGCATAACATTTGCTTTGTAGATCGGCTTCTGTTTGTGATCAACGCCATTAAGGAGGAAATAATGCTGAGAGTTGAGGACTCATCTCCGCGCCCCACCAACATGACGGAGACTCTGGAGCGGCTCATCGAGGAGACGCTTGGTGAGAATTAAAGATGAGGAATCATTTGGGAATTTTACTACACTAATCATGAAGCTGCTAATCCCGATTAGATAAAATTTCACATTTTTACAAAGAAATATATATAAAAAAGACAACTTGCTGCAAATTGAAATAGGGCTGAAACAATTAATCTGATTAATCGTGATTAATCGATTATTGAAAAAAATCGTCAACTAATTTTGTTATCGATTAATCGTTAACTAGAGTATAGAGACTTTAAAGCATGTCTTTAACTGACAGAGTGACCCAGTTAGAGCAGTAATTATGCCCGAATTGTAAGAAAAATATATGGACATTTTGCATTTAAGATTAAAAAAAAAGAATGTTTGGATTAATTTTGTAAAAAAATATTCTGTAAGGAACCTGGCTTTCTGATTGTTAATCAAAAAAGATGACTGACAGATTCATCAATTTGCAAAATAATCGTTAGTCGCAGCCCTAAATTGAAATAGGACTGGCTGCTCAAAACACCAATGTAGGAAAAGGTTGGAGGGGTTCTGAGCAGCGTGCTCACTACCTCTGTAGTAGAGAAACTGCCTGATGACATTCTGATTTTATTTTCTTTCTAGAAGACGACTAAATTGCAGAGCTCTGACAGAAAGCATGTATTAGGGAAACATCTCTTTAATTAATATAAAACGGTTTCAACATTCAAGATGATTTATTTCTCTCTAACGATCCTAAGGCCCTGATGTCTCTGTATTGCTGGTAAACCAGACTAAATGTAAGATTAATTGTGTAATTTAGCCTGGCTCCAATGAATGAGACATTGGAAGAATGGTGATCAGAACAACCTGTTGTCTTTCAAAT